AACTAATAAGCCTACATATTTAGACAGTCGATGAGCATAATTTTTAATAATCCAATGGAGTATTTTTCAGTTTAGGATATGAGGAAAAAAAGATTAGTTTGGCGGTGAAGGAGGACAAGAAAAAAAATTCGCGTCATTGTGATAATTATAATTCTAAAGTAGTTAAGAGGTTTCATAAGAAAAACATATCGTCGCATTAGACGCTAAGGCTGAGAGTGTAAACCTGTTAACAACCTCCAAATAAATTTCACAGCACAGACAAAAACTACTATTTAATATTCAGAATGGAAGAAAGCTTGTTTTACTGTTATTTACCAACAAATAAGAATTCTGACATGTTAAAATCTAAATTTAGTGAGGTCTCCGCACTCTTAGGATTATTGAAGACAGCAAACTGTAGGCAAATGCAATGCAGTGAGTTGAGAAGTCTTTTGTGAAATTGTACTAATCTCTATTGGGTGGAATCCTCGTAAGAATTTAAAAAGTAACTACTCGGCCAAGATGGTTTGTCCTTTTACGGCGATCATTATACCAATATTATTCTAAGGGATATTAGTCTACTGGACAGCAATAAGAAGTATTTTCTTAAGAGCATGATGGGTCCGACAGCCTCGCTCTACAGCGGGCGATTGGGTCTGGTGGTAAACGAGGACAAGACGGAGTATCTCCTGCTATCAAACAAAGAATCAGTATAGTCGCGCCTCTCACTGCATACGTCACTGTTGAGAGTCATAATTTCGAGAATGTAGAGAATTTCGTTTATTTGGGAACCAGCAAATGAAAGAACGATTAGCTGTATGAGCTTTACGACGACATGGACATAGTGCATGGCTCCGCTGGATGGCCATGTCGTTCGAATCGACTCCGACGCTCCAGCTCTGAAAGGAAGAGGGAGGACCCCACTCCTTTGGAAAAACAAAGTGGAGCAGGACTTGGCTACACTTGGCATTTCCAATTGTTTGTTGTTGTCTGTTGGCATAGAAGAGAAACGACTGGCGTGCTTTGTAGAACTCGGTCAAAATCGCTTAGGGGGTTACAGCGCCAAAGGAGAAGAAAGCGGCAGATATAATGCAGACAAAACTTTATATTGATATTCGATAATTTTTGGGGTGACCTACTACTTAAAAGCCAATGTTGGTTGACAGCGTTGCCTTAGTACAATTGGGCAACTCCATATACACGTGTATATATTGAAAAAAAAAAAATGGGCGAAGGAACGCAGAGATAAAGAGACCGACAAAAAAAACGTACGTACGTTAGAATTAGAAAAACCATATTTAAATCATATGTAAGAGAGAGGACTCTGTACATTTGGTTAGTGTTAAACTTAGTCTGGTGGAGCGAAAAATGACTAGGAAGTTCAAGCTTCTAAAAGTAGTCGTAGATCATATAACTCCTGAGTCGATTTAGTTAGGTTGTTGTTAGATTTTGTTTCCGCTACGTTCTATTTAATGTATAGATTGACATCTAAATTTTTAAAACCAATGCACTAGTAGTTATTCGAGATATTTTAAAAATTTAGTCCTTTGATAACTCCCGTAGTTGTTGTTTCCCAAAAAATTTAAGAATTCCATTATGCTCAGCTCAGTGATTTCTGTCGATTGCTATATACAATCTTTATCCTCGCTATTATTTTATTTTTTTTGTTCTCAAACCTTCTTTTCATGAAAACGGCTCTACAACATGTAAGGCGCTTTTGAATCTTATCGAAAATATTGAAATATTACCTGCACTATTTTTATAAACAATTTTTTAGCTGCGCTATTCTCGAGTACGGGCTTTTTATAACTTAAATTTTTTTGACAAATATCAAATAATCTACAGGGATCGAAAATAAAAGTTATTTTCGAAATCTCAATTCACAAAGAGAGTGAGTATCAATGTTATGCTTGTTAACCAAAGAACACTAATCCTATATTATTTAATTTTTTTTTAGTTTTTCAAAAAAGTCAGAAATTATCCTTTATTTTTTAACCGATCTGTTTTCAATAAAGCATTACAATTAAATTTTAACTTCTACCTTTCCGGCCAAAACTAACAGCTAAAATTAGAGTTTAATAATTTTGGTTAGAATTGGAAGTAAAAAATTTGACCTTTAATTTTCTGTTAACTTTAACAGTTAAAATTATAATTTTTTTTCTCCAGATATAAAAGTTAAAGTCTGACTTTAATTTTTTCGGTCAAATTAAAAGTTAAAATTTGACTTTTGACAGTTTAAATTTCAATTTATTTTTTGATAAAAAACTACAGCTTGCATATATATGTATGAAATACAAAAATAAAAATACAAAATCTTTTAACTGAAAAAAAAATTGCGAAGTGCAAAATGCATATTTGTTTTGCTTTTACACTTAGTTGTAACAGTTTTTAAGAAAGAAAAAAATACCTTTGACATTTATATTGCTTTATTGCATTACTTGTTTATTTATCGTTGTACACTTCATATAACAAAAGACAAATGTATTCTTTATACGTAGAAATAAATTTTTAACTTAAGCGGCTACAATCAGATAAAATTGCAAAACAAATTTAACTTTTATTTTTGATCGAAAAATAAAGGCCATATTTGAACTTCTATTTTTGACTGAAATGAAAAAAAAGTTTTAATTTTTTCATTTGACTAAAAAGATAAAAATCAAATTTGAACTTTAAATTTTATAGAAATAATAAAAGTAAAAAAATTTGCTTTTACGTTTGAGTAAAAAAGTCAAATTTTAGCTTATCTTTTTCACCGAATAGATAAATGTTAAAATTTAACTTTATTCTTGACAGAAAACATATCGGTGAAAAATAAAACTATTGGAAAAAAGCATAAGAGTTGGCGTCCCTGAGAGTCAGTAATCACTTAATTATAGGCAAGCGGCAGAAGCCGAATATCATTAAAACGGCAAAAAGGTAACATCAAATGTGTATATTTGGAATGAAGTAAGGCCATTTTAATCGAAGCTCCTCTATCTATTAGTAGAAAAAAGACAACTTCCATAAAATCCTTCGCAGGCTATGTGTGTGTTTCTAAGGCAATCAAATATATAAATACTCTTAAATTCGGATTTTGGTATTTTTTCTATTCAAAAGTTCAAGTAATAGTTAGATATTGAAAGAGGTATGCACCGCGACCTGGTAGGTCTATTGTGCCCCACACAAGTAGTAACTTGACCAACATTTTTGGTAATTAATTTTGTAAGCAACATCGTCGTGAAACTCCTATTTTTTAGTGCGTGGAATTGAACTGATTTTGTATTAATGCATATCACTTTGCCTAAACATGTAAATATGTAAATGGGTGTGATATCTTAACTGTTCACATGACAGTTGATGACTTTTATGGACTTATGTCTGCATATATACATACATATGTATATGTAAGTAAGTAAAGATGTATGTACACATGTTGGTAGTGTAGCAGTAGTAATTGTTTGGAACTGTTCATGTATGTATATAGATTATTTTGATTTTTTTTTGCATTTTCTGTATAGACCTCGTTAAATCGATACAATAAAGAGTTATGTAAGTTTTGTATGTACATAAGTATATGAAGAATACTCGCATAGGAAAACAATTACGTTATAATGTACTATAGAAAAGTAAAAGTTTACAATCATCGTTGATTGACGGTTATGTATGTTAATATGTATACCAACATACATACATACATACATAGATATGTACACGCAAATGTATCTGCTTATAATTTATTCATGCACTGTCTGTTATTATTAAAAAGTTAATGAGTTTTGTGGGTGTTATCCGAGCTGAGGCGGTGAACATTTCATATTTTTGTTTGTCTGTGCTGCGGATGAGTGATAGGTATACTTGTATGTATGTATGTACATATGTATGCATGCGCATGCGCACCTGTCCTACATTATGATGTTAACTTACGGCTGTATGTTTAGATGTAAGTAAGTATGTATGCCGTATCTGCATAGTATGTATGCACATTAGGGTGATCCAAAAATGAATGTGGGAATATGAATGCTCTCACATCCTAGGATTGTTCTAGACTGCAACAAAAAAATATTTTTCTATTCTTTATTTTGAAATCAAAAAAAAAATACTTAGAGGTCGCTCAAAACGCTCAAAGAGTTCCATGTATTTTATATGGAAAAAAATTTTCGTACAAATGGTATAGAATTTTTGAAAATCTATATTTTTCTATCGGAAAACTCCATTTATCAGAAGAATCCCAATAATAATGCCTGACTGTTTTTCATATTTTCATAGTAACTATATTTTATAGGTCCGCCTTGAAAATGCAATGGGGGCCCGATATTATTATCGCAAGTCTTCTGAAGAGAACTATAGTTTTCCCATCGAAAAATGTTGGTTTTCAAGAATTATAAGTATACCAGTTGTACGAAAAGTGGTTTTTCCCCCAAATAAAATACGTGGAAATCTTTGAGTGCTACTTTTTTATTTCTAAATAAAAAATAGGGATATATTCTTCGGTATAGAACAATACCCGGTGTTGAGAATATTAAAATTGAAACTTAAGTTTTTTTTGGACCACCCTAGCGAACCTATATGTATTTATTACATACATATGTATGTATTTTTTGAGATATTCACATGTAATAGGCGTGTAATCCGATCGCAAAATGATTGCAAGGTATCGATTAAAGCTATTTTTGATACCTATAATATTGTAATAGATACCTGAGACTTATCTACAAATACACGTAAGTGTGTAAGCAAATAGCTTTTATTTGAGTGCTTTGAGATTTAAGCGCTAATTGATTGATCGCCTGCTGTGGCTTAATGATGCTGCTTAATGGCGATTACACTGAATCTGGTAAATAAAAGAAAACCTTAAATGCATACTCAGATATGCATAGGGCACATTTATTATTCTTATTTTAAATATGTACATACATATTAATTTTTGTGCACTAGCTATGTAGCTAAGAATATGGGCAACAGCTAGATGTTGTCTGATATTTACTCAAAATTACTAACTTGTTTTAATTTTTGTTGTTTTCTCGCTTTTCTCCCACTCTTTTAGTGAACCAGTAAATAGAAAAAAACAACAAAGGCAACAGCAAACAGCAAGCAAGAGTCCAGCATCAACTTACCTTTCACGCCCGGCATATACACCAGCACATTTTGCCCGCAATTGGCTTACCCATCAACCGACCTACTTCCTTCCTTCATCCACAACGGCGGCTTCCTGCTGAATAATGCATTCGTACGATAACAGCAACAGTATGTCAGTTAAATTTTGTATCTCTTTGGCGTTATTGCCATTATGATTCACCGCGTGACGTGCCCGTGAATTATAAACAACGACAACGACGGCGACGACGAAGTGCATTTTTGTGTTTTTATTTCATTTTTTTTCGGACTCATTTGAATAACAAATTTGCGTTGCTAAAGAGTGCAGAAACGAAAGCAGCAGCAACAGTAGCAGCTGCTAGGGGCGCAGAAGAAGAAGTAGAGGAAAGGAGTTGTAGCGGAATTCAGTGGAACACCCCAGTGGTCGTTGGTCCACTGCAACGTGCAAGAGAAGGAGTCGCAGTAAAATCAGCTGCGACGACGCACAAGTTCCAGTCAAGTGCAGTAGAGGGGAATAAAAGCAGCCGCAGAAAGGCGCTGAGGAATTCTTATCGTGAGAACGTTATGGCATCACATTTAAGCTGGTTCGCGCATTTACTCTTCTTACTTCTGGTAAGTTAATGTAACTAACTGGTTTATGTTGATGCATTTTTTTATTTCGAAAAAAATCCACTTTTTCAATTGTGGAAGTTTACAGTCTCTGTTTGAAATCAATGATTTTGGGTGCATATATTATGGGACGTTTTTACTGACGATATGTTTTAACTTGCATTGAAATACTAAAGTTAAATGCATTCTGCTAATGTACTATAGTAGTCGAAGTATAGCGGTAGAACAAAATCGGATGCGATGAAATGTTGATGTTATATTTGTCCTTGCTAGTTTAGAGTCGACCTCCTGATAAAAATAAACTATCCTTTTTATCGCAAAAGAAGTATAATATTTCTCGAAACCTTTTATAGACTACTAACGTATGAGCAATCAAATCAAGTTCGCATCCTAAGTCTTTTGCTTCTATTGCAACGAAGCAAAGTTTTGGTTGTGACTACAATCTATATATTTATATGCTAACATAAATGTTGTGTCGTTTTTTTTTTGCAATTCTACCGAACCGATTTCAAAACCAAGAATATCATTGGAAATGTAATTTTCTGTAGTTGAGGAGAGTTTTTATGGTTTCAAAATTAATTGAAATTTACGGCCAAAATCGTCGTTTAAAAATTTCCGTATTTGTTTATAGTTGTTGTTGCAACCTCCAACTTCGTATTTGAGATTAAACTGAAGAAATAAACGATAACGATGAAGACAAAATAGGGAAGGCAAAATGAAGATAAAGACGAAAATGGAGACAATGGGAAATACATAAGAATTAGGGTAACTAAAAGAATAAGAAAGTTAATTGAAATTTTTCGATAGGAATCGAATTAAATTAAGGCTTAAAAATTATCGAAATTTGTCGAGTTATCCATATTTATTGAGTTACCGCAACGTATCGAATTATTTAACTTGACCAATGTTTATTGAGTTGTCGAAATTTATAGACACAGAAACTCAGTTGTCGATATTTACGGATAGTTATCGAGCTATGAAAATTTATGGGATTATCGAAATTTTTCAAGTTAAAGAAATTTATCAAGCTATCGATATTTATTTAATCATCATTATTTACAGACTTTATGAAATTTATCGTAATGTATCGAGTTCTTTCAATTTACAGAAATATGGTTAATTAGTGATCTACTGAAATTGGTCGAATTATCGAATCGATGTTTACGGAATTTTCAAAATATATCGATTTATCAAAATTTCAAGGTAATATAAGCTTATCGAGTTATCACTATTTATCGAATTTTATCGTGTTAACAGAGTGTAACAAGTTACCGAAATTTTTCCATAGCTTTCGAAAAATATGGAGCTGTCAAAATTAAAAATTTATAAAGGTATCTAAATATAAACACATTTTTGAGGTATAGAAATTCATCGAGCCCTCGAATTTCCCTGTTATCGAAATTAATTGAGTTATCAAATTTTGTTGAGTTATCGGATTTTAGTGTTTTCGAAATTTATCGAATTATCGATACGTATCAAATCACTGAAATTTATCGATAAACTGGAATGTATCGGGTTAATTCCAAGTCCTTCCGAAGACCTCCGAAGGCCTTCAAAGATATAAAAAATTGAAGTCGCGGTTTATTTAGTTCCAAAGCAGAAGATTTTTCAGTAAGTTACTTTGTCCTTTTTAGTGTAGCTACGTGTTATGTTAGAAAAGCTCTCCAAGACTCAAAAACTAGAAAATCGGTCGAATTTTGACAATAACTGGAACTAGTTTGTATGAATGTATGCCCACGAGCGCTGTTTTCAGCAGCACTGATTTAACCCTGTTGCAGGGACACTGATGCCACACGGCGTGTTTATTTTACCCTGAATTCGCAATGTATTCCAATAGGGCTTTAGAGCACGGTTGTGTCTTTTTTTTTTTAACAAGCAAAGCTGCCTCGGTGCGAAAACCATCATGTTTCAGCAGGGATTTTAGTTTTTGTGCCACCCTTTAATAAAATACATTTCTACAGATCAATGTTGAGGAACTCTTTTAAAACTATTGTCACTTTTCTAACAAGTTCTAGCAAATTAGCAACAAGTGCACTGCACTTTCTATGCCAAATATCAACACCTCTACCCATTTTCAACATGTTTGCAGCATTATCCGACATTACAGCAAAACAAATTGTGTTATAAAGAGTTTATCTGCCGTCTCCTGTTCACCCGATACGTCAAAAACTTCAAAAAAAAGTTGTATGCCATTAAAACTATGGAGCATAGTAACCACCTTTTTTTGGTACTGAGTGAGGTGATCCTCTTCTTTCACATACCTTATGTGTTTTTCGTTCTCCTTATCTAGCATTGTTGTGGAGAACGCATTTCTACCGGGCATTTTGTGTTCATAGGACGGTCTTAGTTTTTTGATTAACTCTCTGAAGGGTGGCGCATCTATTACGTGCAAAGATATGCTGCATCTGTAAAAAATCTTGCTACAAAAGAATTAAGTTCATCCTCCTGTTTAGAGCTTATTTTGTCAAAAAAAGTTTTCAGTGCCGCCGATGCTGCTTTTGGTGGTGTTTTAAAGTTTTGCGTCGTCGTTGATGAAGATGAAGCTTATCTTTTTGGCGTTTTTGGTTGGGACTATGTTGCACAGATGGCGTTGATTCAGTTGTTATAAAAACAATAATGTCGCTGGACGTATCCATGACAGAAAATCCAGAATTTTCTAGCTCTATAATTCGATTGCTTTCAAAGAGCTCTCGTTCATATGTTATTGTGTAATCATCATCTAAATAATCAATATTTTAGTTGCATCGTTTCCTAGAAAATAGCGATCGCCAAAATTAAGTTTTATGTCTATACGTATTTGCAGATACATATTGCACATACCGATGCTGTTTTAGTCTCTGTGGTGATATATTTCAGTATGTTTTTTTTTTTTTGCAAAACAGACACAGAGCTGTATATTTTTTCTATCATTTTGAACTTGAAAGTTCAGATCTTTCCAAATATTTCTTGGTGAAGCACCGACAGAACCCATTTTTGTTTAAATCAACTATTTTGCTGACAATCAGAGTTGCATTATATAATTTACAATTATTTACAATATTTTACAAGGACAGTGTAAAAAATTTTAAAATTTGTGTAATTGCACAACACTGCTTTAGATATATTATTTTATATACGCCAGCAGTATGTTGTGCACCATGCGGTATGCAGATATTTTTTTCCTTTTTCGCTTTTATAGGCAGCAAAATATGTCGAACAGCGAAGAAATAAGATGAGGTAAGCCAGTGAGTTGAATGAAAATACGTTGGTCTCGAATGAAAGCAGTCATGTAGTGCTGTATCAGGGTTGCGTGATTTTGAATTAGTCAAATCGCAAATCCATACATCAAAGTCATTTGGGAATTGAAAGTTGCATCGAATCCTTAACAAATTTTATGTGTGCTTTAGTTGTCGATTAAATGAAAATTAAAGTTTATTTTTGATTCGATTCGTGAACTAAAACGAAATCAAATTTATGCATGTTTTGATTCATCGAGCAAATCAATTTGATTCGTGATTTTTCAAGTACGGGTAAGTAATACTTTTTTATGAAACGCAAATACGATTTTAAAGTATTTTATAGCTTTCAGTTCTACGTAAAATGGCGCTTACCGAGTTTGTAATTAATTATTATATTTCCGGATTTTCGGGACTGCTTAGGCATCTTCGGGACTATTTCGGGATTTCCGAAACTACTTTGAGATTTTCGTGATTCTGGGGACTATATCGGCATCTTCGGAACTACTTCGGGATTTTTGGAACCACTTCGGGATTTTCGATACAACTTCGGGATTTATGGGATTCTCGCGACTACATCGGGGTTTTTGGGGATTTTTTGAGATTTAGGGATTTTGAGATTAGGGATTCTAGGGACGATTTGGATTTTTACGAAACTCAATATCCGTGCCCATAAGTATGTAAATAAATATATCGGTAAATATAACAATAAATATACCGAAAATATTATAAATAAATATTATAAATATAAATAATAAGGATAGTGTTGCTAAGTGAAAAAACTGCGCTATTGTGAATAGTTAATGGGAAAGTGGGGAGGGAAATGTGTGTATTCTTATATATATGATTTATATTTTAAATAAGCATACATATATATTACGCAAATACCGCGCACGATTATTCATTTACATCGGTATTTGTATCTAAATTCCGTTAACCTAATCACATGTTTCTTGCAAGATACCAACAGGGTTGCTTAAGTCGCTAAAGGGAAATTGTACCCGAGTTGAGCGTTCTTTTGTCGCTCGTTTACAAGAAAATGCACCAAGTATCGATAACTATATTGTATCGATAAATGTATCGATAAATATATCGATAACAATATTTATTTGTTTACTTTTGTCATTTATTGAACAAGAAAATTTACGACACATGACAGTGCTGATATTAAAAATGCAGGTCAATAGTTATAATTCAAAATAAAATAAGATGGTAAGTCTAGATAAGTTGAGAAAAATAATTATACATAACATTTCTATAATTGCTTTTATATCAATAAACTTATAGATAAATTTATAGATATCAAGATCGATAAATACAACTGAAATAGTCTCGAAAATGCCGGAATAGTCGCAAAAATCCCGAAGATTCCCGTGTAGTCCGGAGAATCCCGAAAATCCTGAAAATCTAGAAATAGCCGCGTAAATCAAAAAGTAGTTCGGAAAAACAACCGGCAATATTCGAAGTTGGAAAATACTTGAAAACCATGTTTGCGTTGCATAAAAATGTATCTCGACGAATCTATCACAAATAAATTTGAGTTTTTATTTGGAAGCGTGTCTGTTCAGTGCAACAATAGGCTCAAAGACCGGGTCTGTGTTAGGACAGAGAAGAAGAAAACAAATTTCGAGCAAACTCTGATATCTGAATCGATATGAAACTTGGATGCATAAGTATGTCGTATTACCATCGGCCATCGAAAAAGGACTTCAGGCAACGAATTTATAAAATCAGCCATAACAGGTGATCGGTTTTGAGCAGATTATGTCTACGCTTATATATTCGGAT